TAGCATCTTAATTTCTCAAAGTCCTGAGAAAGAAACAAATTGTGTTATGGGAAAAATGTGGAGAAGACTGTTCAAGGAGCTTTGGCTTGTGATTTGCTTGAAATTCTCCTTCAGCAGAAACATAGGAGAAGTGGAAGGAGATCCCTGAAGGCACTTTAAGCAGGTTTACAAGGAGGGCTGTATTTAGGTAGATTAGAAGGTTGTTTTGAGGATGAGAGCACCTTTGTCTTTCCACAAACATGAGGCTTTGCATATACTTGACTCTGCACCTCTGTTGAGTACTATCATGCACAAGTGAAGAAAGGTGACGTCTTTCACTTACATTGAAAAGGTATTGTCCATAAGAAAGGAACCTTCCTGATCCTTTGCAGTCCAAGGGTCTCCATAAAAAGGGAAACCTGAATTAATATGTAGCTGGTAGATTTGTTGTCTCAAAGGAACGAAGTGGTCATAGTGAATGACAGAAATAGCTATTGAGTCAAAACTATGAAATAAATGCGTTATGTTTGCAAGAAATAATGTTTACTTTTGAGTAAATAATTGCTGATGCCTTCTGGAAATCTTGGGCAGTGTTATTCCTGTGCATACAAAAAGAACATGGCTATATATAACAATATACATTTCCTGAAGATGTTGTTTTCGTATTTAAAGCAGCCAAATGTAAAGAACTATGGCCTGCAGGTGTTCGAAGAGCAAAAAGCTCTTAAAAAATAATACCCTGTATTCAAACAAACTATAGTGATAAAATCTAATAAAAGGAGAACTAAAACATCAAAAAGCTCAATTGTCCGTTTCAGACAGTTTGCCATCAGAGTAGTGACTTGGGACACTGGGTCACTTGTTCTATGCTGGCTCAAGTGCATTGTTGTAATGCTCTAGTGGTAGTTTAGCCATCCTTGTTAAATAACTTGCCCATCTCAACCCAGTTCCTTGAAGACTGGTGCTTAAGTTACAGATAACATCCTTATGGTGGGTTGCATGTTAGCTGTCATAGGAGACCAGGCTTTTAATGGAATATACCTTGATGGTGGATTAAGACAAGTGTCACAGCATGCTCGGGTGGGATGGATGGAGTAACAAAACCACACCATTTGGCAACATATAATCTAAAATTGATTAATTTAGCAGGTTGGAAATGGTGAGTGGATACCAATTTACATTCTGTAATCCACACACTAAATGCACAAGTCAAAGCCCTAGACCTTAGTCCCATGAACCCAGGAGGACTCTTGATCCGACTAGTCAGCATGTCAGGTCCTGTCCTGTGCATGTGGTGTTGTTTTGATTAGTGACATCGTTTAGTGGTGGCCTTGGCAGTGCTGGGGGGAACAGTTGGATTTGATGATCTTAAAGGTCTTTTCTGACCCAGTTGATTCTGTGGTTCTATGATTATATTAGATACCTGTACCTGGAGCTCTCTCCAACCCTGAGGGTAGCACCCTTTTAACCAATTACTGCTTTATATATTTACAAGCAGTCCCAGGCCGTTCTCTTTTTTTACATATCCAAGGCCAGTTACTGGTGGGGAGGAGGTTCCTATTGCCCTGTGTTCACCCACTCCAAATGTGTTATGGAGTGTGAATTTAGCAACAGTTGCCTAATGAGGTTCTTTACTTCTTTGTTTCCCAGTTCATGCCACATTAGCCAGAGCTGACCAGATGTAGTCAAGGTCTTACTTGACCAGGCAGTCTTTAACTTTCAGATAGGCTTCACCCCTTGACAGACATGTTGGCAGGGAAGATTGTATTGTGACTGGCCACTAACATGGGAGAGGACAGACTGGTATTCTGCTTTTGAGATGGATCACTACATGGGGGTTTTATTTTAATTGAAATAAACACTAATTGTTGTAGTTCTTCAGTGATATTATTACAAAGAAGTAACATAAGCTGTAATTAAAGTGAGAGATGAAAACCACACGAATTTTTTTTTTTTCATTCTGTGTTAGAGGGAAGACATCTAACAGCTACTAAACACAGCCTCCTGTGTCCAGAAACGCAATTCGAGACAAGTAAAAAGCTGCTTTAACCTTTGTCTGTGTGTGTTTGGTAGTGACTGTTTCCTAAAAGCTTGGGGCTGTTCTGTGAAGGAATGGATGCTCTGAAGACCACATTAAAAACATCTTCAGGAGTTTAGTAGAAGTGGTGGTATGTACCCCAGGAGCAGATCTGTTTGCCACACACTGTGAATGGTTGTCCTGCATCAACAGGGCCCCTGCAGAGTAAAGATATGCTGCCCGTGTTCCTTATTCCTCCTTTGCTGTAAGCACAGTTTTTCTGCTAGTAATACCCTCTTTAGGTAAGAATCCTCAAGAAAAAGATAGCTGTGAATCCTCAGTGACTTCCCTGAAAAATGAGACATTTTAATATATGGTCTTCATGCAGGCATAAAGTATGACAGATCTAAGTGAGGTTCTGCAGATGCTGATAGGATCAAGAACCTATTTCCATTTTCCCTCTTAAATGGCTATCACATTAACGAAACAAAAGGGTAACTTGTGCCTTGCTCCTAAATTTGTGCTTCTTGACCTTAAAGAACAAAATGAGAAGTCTACCAAGTCTCACATTATGAGTGCAATCCAGGTGACTAATTTGCAGCCCCTTTCTTATTGTCTGATTGGAATATTGGGTGGAACTCAGTCAAAAGCCGTATGTGAATCCATGTTTGCCATGCCAATACAATTGCTATTATCAGTTACATTTGTGGGATCGTAAAAATACCATGTTTGTCTAAAGAGATACATTTCTCATAAAATGATGCTGGCAGGAATTCATTAAAATGTCATCATTTGCAGCTTTACTGCATTTGTCCCATTGTAGCTTTTCAGTGACGTTGCCAGGAATCTTTACCAGAGTATCTAACCCACATGCCTGGGTCATTCTTATAACTTCTTTGAAATAATAGCTCAAAGCTTCACTTTCTCCTCTATCTTCTAGAGTTTTCTATCACTTAAAATGCCAGATACACTTGACTGTAAGTGGGTTCCAAGTTTTTGCATTTAACAGATCTTATTCTTTTTATTTTAATAAAGAGTATGTGAATTGAAGTGTTCAGAAAGGTCCAAGCTTGTTGGAATTCAGCAATGGAATTGAGGAGGTTTTGGGGAGGGCTTTCTGAGGTTTTTCTGTGCACACATCTCAATCTGATGTAAGAAAAGACGGTAGTTTTCCCTTTAATAAGCTACAATATAGCCTAGCTGAACATGCGTATTTTTTTACAGCCTACAGTAAATTGGTTTTTTTTTTGCTGCATTCTTGTCTTCCTGCCCTTTGCAATGTAATACTGGCATAGTTCACTCAACATTCAAATTTAGTAGTTGCATTTAGAGATGATGTTTGGGACACAGAAAATGTAAATAACGGAGGTGACTATGTGGGCTTAAACCTTCTGAACTCACAGAACACTTCAGTTGCTTTAATGGAGTTTATAAAATGGATAAGAAAGGCAAGACCCATTTAGTATGTTCAACAAAATGCAGGTTTAAATTTCTCACTGAATCATACTGGTTTTTATCAGCAAAATGTTTTTTGTCCTAAATGGACAAAACCCTCAATTTTCAAGCATTTAAAATCAGAAGAGTTAGCCATCAGTGATACAGAAGTGAGCCCTTTTTTTTGTCTTCTTTGAAATAGGCTGAAATTTTGCAGAAAACTGATAAAGGATCTGTGTGGAAAAAATTAGTTGGTTTTGACAGGGTCCAGTTCAAGCTTTGGCGTGATCTGTATTTAAAATTACTTCGAATATAGTTCAGATCATCTTTCAGTGCTATACAGGTCTTCCTCAGTGGCCTACCAGTATAATTTGCCCGTATTGAGGCACTTTACCCCTTTTGAATGGAAAAAAAAGCAGCTTCCACTACGTACTGGTATTACTTTACTTAGCCAATCTGTGATTTCACAGCAGGCCGCATTTTTCAGGTTTCTGTCTGAAATGACTGGGAACTGTCAGTCTAATAAAAGTTCAGCCAGGATTCTTCTGATGCAGGTGGTTTCTCATCTATTGGTAACTGCACTGAGACTTATTTTCCACTGGGCTGTGATTAACATTAGGTGTTAGCTCAAGAGTTTCATTTCCTTTTGTGTACTTACTGCAAAGAATGTGAAGTTTAGTCAGTGGGAAACTCAGAAGGCAGATACTAGATTACTAATTTTTCTTAGGGCACACAACATTTGATGCTTTGCATAGATTTTTGGTGTTTTTTAAGGCAGAAATACAGGGTAAATAGTCAAATCCATAGGTTATAAGCCTGACCATCTCTACTAAGTATAAGCTGTTTCTGCTGTGTCCTGCTTTGGTAATAATTGATAATTGATAATCCCCAGTTTTCAGAGATATTTTGGAATGTGAATAGAGATGGGTTATTTTTCAGTGACATGGTTTAGTGGTGGACTTGGCAGTGCTGGGGGAATGGTTGGACTTGATGATCTTAAAGGTCTTTCCAACCTGGTTGATTCTATGATTTTATACATTAATTTCTGCCCTTCTAGGTCCATTTCTTCTTTATGTATTTTTAGTAGGGTTTTACATTTTCAGGCTTATTCCCTGTTATCTTAGTCATAAAACAGCAAGATACAAAAGCTGTGCATGAGGAGAAGGGATAGAAAAGGCAGGTTAACCTCACTGCTGCAATCTTCTGTAAAGGTATCTAAGACACAAAACCTTATGCTGTTAAATAAATGCAAATAAGTATTCTGTATTATCCTACACCTACTCTATTTTACCTTTTAGTGACAAGAACCACCAAGTGCTATTTTACTTTATGTTTAAAATAAAGTCTTCAGCAAAAACATCACTGTGACAAGCAGTCAGCTACCCATGGCCAAAAACCCCTGTGGTTTCCTAAAATAACAAAAGGTCTTCAGCATTGCAACTATTAAAGCATAGAGTCAAAACCAAAGAATGTCACGTGGTTTACTCACTGCATCAGGTGGTTACTGCCTTTCAGCATTCGTGAAGGCAATGTAAAAGTAAAATAAATTAATAAAAATAAAAAGCCATCATTGGGTTTTACCAATTTTATTTCTAGATTTTAGGTTTTTTCCACTGGAAACTTGTCTGTTTTAGGTCTGTTGGTGAAAATGTGCATTTCAGACCAGTGATGCCAATAAGTACAATATAAAAATGTACAAATCTGAATTGCTTGCTTACTACAGATTGTTATAATAATGTGACAAATAAAGCATCTCTGTTGGCGCATGAACCCACTTAATCTGGATTTGGCCTTTTAGTACATACAATATTTTATTAAAGAAGTTTGCAGTACACACTGCCACTCAGTGTAACATGTAATTATAACCAACAAGCACTAACTCAATAATCATGTTTGGTTCAGAGACACAGAGATGCCACAAACAGAAGTGTTTCATGAGGTAAGCAGTTAGAAATGTTCCTGAAATTTGGACAGAATGTATCCAGTCCTCCTGGGTCCTGCGACTGCTAGTAGCATTGCAATGCTTTATTTATGCACTATGTAGGATCTTAACTGCATTTGCCTCAGAATGAGTTCTAATTCTGTTTTGGTTTAGCAGCATACAGGCAACAGCTAGATTATTCTTCAGCATACAACTCTGTTAGCTGGCTTATTTATGAGATTTACAGGCCTTTTAAATTAGCATTACACTATAATTAAAAAAAAAAATAACAACAAAAACAAAACCCTAGTATATCATAACAGATTAAACACAATACTTAAGAGTTCCAGAAGATAACCTGTCATACCAAATGATGTGTTCCAACTGCTGGGAAACCACATCAGGTGGCATCCAAGAGTTACATTATAATGCACCTTTCATATATCAATGTGGCTAATAACACAGCTTCAAACTACTATAATAAAACCCAGGTCAGACAAAAAGAATCCAGCTTTATAAAATGCATTAAAACAACATGACATTACTTGATGTTCTGAAATGTCTGCTGGTTTTAAGTTAACGCAACCTAGTTGCAAATTGCGAGACCCATTCGATGCATTTCCGTCTGCAGTAGAACTATGAGGCACTGTGTACAAACATTAAAACCTGGTCTAGACATGGTTAACTGAAGTATGAGGTATTGTGAAACAGGAACCTTTTTTGGAATAGAGCAGTAATCACATTAAGTAAAAATTGATCACATAAAAAACCTACCAAAAAAAAGTGATGTCAATAATATAATTTTCTATGAGAAAATTAAAACCTATAACATGGCAGTATATGACATTGTATAACAAAAAAAAACCAAACTGATCCACAGAATAGCAGCAAAACACAATGACAATGATACAGAAAAGCAATGTTAATTTTTTTTTTTTCAAACCATGCTGGGAATTTATCCATAGCAGCTCAATAAAAATGGAGCATCCACTCCTTTTTTTTTTTGTTTGTTTTAATGTTTAAGGGGTTTTTTTTTCCTTTTTTTTTTTTTTTCCTTTTTTTTGTCATTTTGTTGGGTTGTTTTCTTACAATCAACACCTTAGCGGCAGTTTTCTCACATACATTTCACCATCACATTCTCCTCGAGCATCAACTTCAACAGCTATGTCCACGTCCCTTCAGCTACTTTCTAAAATAATAATAAAATGATACATAGCCCAAGATGTGCAAATTTTCTATTTGTAGCTAAATAAAAAGGGGCATATATACTGGAGTAAAAACCTTCTTTCAAGTACTCCAATTCTCATATCTCTTGACTATGGCGTTTTGTTGTGTGGTTAGACTGCTTTTGAACATGGATAGGAAGGGGCCGAGCAGACTGCTTTGTTTTGGGTTTGCGCTTTGAAGCATGTCCTTTCTTCTTTAATAAGCTCTGTTAAAACTGCAAAGTCAAGGGGAGAAAGATTCTTTCAAAAACAAAAAGGGGCGATTGCATTAATTTACAAATCATACTGGCCTTAATGAACATCCTCTGCAATAAATATTCTTCTTTTTAGCGTTAATTATAAATTATATATTTTAGTGTTTAAAAACCTTCAGCTGTAAAACATCTAGTGACAGTCCTTAAAACTATGTGTCCTATATGTGAACCTTTAAGGCCCCCTAATTTTATAAAGATGAGTTGGCACCAAAGGATTCTAAACTTCAACTTTTCTATAGAAAAGGATAGGAAGATATCTCCTGGCAATTTGTGAATGCAATTTCTCTTACTGGAACACAACCTTCAGAAAGAAAATATCACCTCTCCTCTAACACCATAGTTAAATGCACTTGCTTTGCAATTCCAAGTTTGCGAACAAGCACTTATATATTTCCAAACCATTCCATTAAAAAAAGAAAAAAAATATTTCCCACACAATAAAAGAATTTCCTATATCTAATGGACTGAAAGTGCTTTGAATGGAATGGGTTTAGAATATTACAAACAAACAACAAAATAAAAGACTGAACTGTGGATTGAACCTGAACATCAATAGGCTGAGTATCTGTGGGGTCAGACCAGCATTTTTACATAGGTAACTACAAAAATAGGAAATTACAAAAATAGAATATATTATGTCACTATTTCGGTTTCTCTTACTCTCTAGAGTACTGTATGAGTAGTACATTGGCCTTTTCCAACAATGCTAAGCTGGAACCCTATAAATGCCTTATGCACAGGCAATCCACAGGCACTAAAAAAAAAAAAAGATTAACATAAAACAATGCTGCATACTACCATATACTAACTTATGGGTTATGTGAACCATTTGTAAGGTGAAGAGGATGATAAAAAAAAAAACAACCTAAGGAAATAAACATTTACAAATGAATCATAAAGTGACTAAATGCATAAGCAAGCAAGATACAGAAAAGCCTAGAACTGCGTTAAAGCTATGTTTTTTAAAGAAAAAAAAAAGTGTTTCATTTACTATCAGAGAAGAAAAAAAAAAACAACCCTCTTCTACTTTAAAAATGGTTGGCTGGTTTGTTTTATATGTAAGAAATCAAATCTAATACCTCCCCTGGAGACATTTTGTGTGTTAATGCCTATTTTTACAACATACAGACAAGAACACTTTAATATAAAAACTAGTTGATTATTATTGTATAAAATCCTCTATTTTTGTAGCACAAACCCCTGTGGGTAATGCGAATACTATTTTTTTTCTTTTTTTTTTTTTTTTAAAGACAGTTTTGGGGGTATTTTTTGTTTATTTGTTTGTTTGAAGTCACAGATGGAAGGGAGACAGAGCAAGAAAAAATATAACAAGACTGATTTTCCCTTCTGGTATAAAAATGTCCTGAAGAAAAGGGTTTCTGGGGGGGGGAGATCCTGATGCTGATTCCTTCTCAGATGCCCTTTCTTTGTCTGCTTTTTCTGGCCAAGCAAACCCTTTAGAAGTCCTCTTAAATGTTCACATCTCGCACATCAGTAGGTGTGCAGGAAAGGTCTGCTTCATCCTCTACAGTCTTTGTTTCTGAAGATACGTTGTGCTGCTGTGCCTGACGTAGACTGGATTCAAGGAGGGACTCAATCTGTTCTTGGCAGGCTCGTAAACAATCCTACAGAAGATTAAATGGAAGCAGAAAAAGATCCAGAGTCCTTTAGAAAAACAGTAAGATCACAGAACAAATACCGTTTCTTGAAAAAGCAAGAGAAACATATCCCAAGTTATCTGGGAGGGCAGCAGACTGAAAGGAGTCTGTGAAGAACAAGATTAGCAAAAGGACTGGGCAAGCCACCCATTTTCTGCAGGACGCTAGCCTGGATCTTCATCAACTAACTCTTGCCCTCTCTTATTTAATGGCCTAGGCAAGCATCTCCATACACGGTCCTCTGCCCTTCTGTTGTTAGTCTCAACCACTGGTCTACAGCTGAATGTTTTGCATGCTCCACTAGTGACACATGTAGTAACTAACCCAGGCAGGACCGTGCCTGCACTGCTAACACAGCAGTCCTGTAAAGGCCCATTCATAGTATCTTTTACCTCACTGGTTTTTATACCTTTTGAAAAAAGGGGAACAGTCTGACTGGACAGCAGTGTGAATCAATCAAAATTAAATGAGTAGCACTGCAAAGACATGAGACTGAGCTGGGCCACAGAAACATTTCTGCAGTACAGTCTATTAGAAGTGATGGTCATAAACAGTGAATTTTCCAGGCTGAGTTCTGAAAATACAAAGTTCTTACCTAGAGGTTCTAAGAAATACATGTATTTAGATATACATGCCCACCAAAGTTGCCTGCCAACTGCTGCTGTGTCCAGTAGTGGGCAGCTCAAGCTAGCAACCTGATTTCTAACTCAGAAAGCGTCTGAACCCAAAAACATCCTGGACTGTTCAACCCCAGACTGGGGAAATTTATCAGAAGCATCACTAAACACACCTTCCTAACCATGCATTACAAAGTGCTGCCAAGCTTTCAGTTTGCTACTGCATTCACCTTGAAATCTCAGCCAGGGTGAGGTCTCCTTCCCTTGCTTCACAAGCATTTTCTCTGAACAGAATGTACCCACAGTCTTAATGAGTGTTCGGGAGGGTCCAAGACCCTCGCCACTCACACAGACATCAGTGTGAATTAAAAGCATACAGAATCAGGACAAGCACTAAGGTGGGAAAAAGCAACTTCCCCCAGGCATTAAGTAATACCATGAGTATTTATACCCAATTCTACTTAACAATCCACAGCAGTTACAATTGGAGAAGGCCTGTTAGCTCAACCTATCGCAACCTTCTGCAAGTTCTGGTTGCATTCTTCAGAGCCGTGCACATCCGTTGCAATGACAAGGAAATGGTGCCTTAAATAGGCAAATCACAAGACCTTTTGCCAGAATGCCTTCAGCATGCTGTTTACTTCTGTCTTTGTAACAAACATCATGAGCTTTTTCCCAACAAATTTAGCTCTGTGTATTAAGGACTTCGAAGTTTCCTTTCAGGATTGCCTTTTCTGCTTTAACCTATGACTTGTGTTAGCCCTTGCAGTGAACCCAGTCTTCCATGATAAATTGCCGTCAAAAGTGTTAGGATGTGCATGACTGAGAATGAATGTTGTTTTCCTGAGAGGGTGACCTGCCTGCTGTTTTCTTTATTTCGCAGTTTCAATTCTGCCTTCATTCAGAGGCTTCTTGTGTGATCTACCAGCTTTTCACTGATTCCACTACCACAGAAATCTCCCCTGCCACCAATAGGGGCACATGGCATTTGGGGTAAAATAAGATTAGAAACCCAAGCGAACAATTCTCTGCAAGTCCTTTCTGAGAGAGGGAGGTTAATCCTACCTCTAAGCAGATCAGACCATCCGTTACAGCTCACTGAAAACACATAACCTGTGACCTTTTCTGGTTTAAACCCTAGTGTAATATTTCCTCTTGACAGAGACACAGAGTGTTTTAAATGACAAAAAGAAACGCCTCATATCCTAAAGCCATCATGCCTTTGGCTCCTACATACCTCTGGCCTTCACAATAAGATCTCCATGAAGTCCTTTCCCCCCTTCTCAAGGTATGACGGATCAATCCTGACTGTAAAGCTCCTCCTTGCATGTCCTGTACCACACACCTCAGTCACACTTGGAATCAGACGTATTAAATAGTACAGGAGGTTTACGTATTCTGGGGTTTACAGATCGAGGCACTTTCAAGGGTAATTCTGTTTTAACAAGGTGGCATGTTCAGCGTTCCAAATTGAAAGCCAATTTATATATTCAGAGCAACACCTACGCCTGTAGGCTTTTTTTTGGAGGGGAAGGGGGCATGTATTGTTTGGTGGGGGTTTTGTGTTTGGATGGGTTTTTTTAATCTTAACCATTTGTATATAGTGTGTTTGAGCTCTGAAAACTGAAACCATTCAAAAGCATTTCTAGAAATTATTCTCCCTCTGGATTCCAGTCGTGGATAATTACTCAAGACTGTGTAACTTAAAGGTATTTTTTTACCTTCCTTTTTTTTTTTTTCCTGTGAGATTCTCAGAGTACAGCATGTTGGAAATGTAGTATTTTAAAACATAATTCTACAATTATTTTGTTTTAGGCACTTCTGTTCATTTCTTATTCAGATGACTAGATATCTTACAGTCCGTTCCAACCCCAACCATTCTATGATTCTATGATGAATAGTTTGACTATAGGAATGTATTAGAGCTAGCAAAAACAGCAGAAAAATATAAATTCCCTGTGAACAGTCTCACCAAAGCTTTTTTGCATTCTCAGTACTTCTGAACACTGGAAAGCAAATCCAAACCTTGTGAATTACTCTGGTAACTTCTCCCAACAACTTTTCTACTTCGCTACCCAAATTCTCAATGCCCACAGTTTGTTCAAAGTCATAAACCCTTCCTGGATTAATTAAACTCCCCTGTGAAAAATAAGGAGGCTTACTAGCTTAACTGATGTGGTCAAATACCTTTAACGCACACAGAAGCCATGATCAGACTCCAGGGCCAGATAGTAAAGGAAACAAACAACAACAACAAAGGAGCTGCTTGGTAATCCTTTGTTACTCCCTGACCTGCTCTGGAAACAAGCACATGGTTGAAGGTGCCTCTGAGTAGAGGCAGGCAGGAGACGAATTCCAGCGTACTAACAGACAGCATGGAAACCCAATCTAATCTAGTTTAGTAAATTTCTGGCCTGGAAATGAATGTCAGGTAAAATTTAATCTCTTTGGATGATGGGGTCAAGAACAGAATGATGGAAGACAGCCCAAGACTTCTAATTGTGATTATCTGACTTCTAATTACCCCTGATCAAAGGCAAAATGGGAAACTGGACTCCTACCAACATAAACATGAACCATAAAGGAATTCCAATCAAGTGATACTCATTTTACTTCAGATTCTGCTGTCTTTGAAACTAAAGGTAAAAAAAAGTGTAATTTCACAACATGAAATCCAGCTGCCTTAGCTAACACATAATCAGAGAGAATGTTAGCCATCTTATAATGCATGCCTTTAATATTTCACGACAGTTCAATATAAAGCCTCTTAGTTTGCACAAGGAGAACCATCACAATAGAGTAACAAACTTCATCTACATGCTACTGAAGTAAAATAATGGGAATAGCATTTGATACCATGGATTACACAGGCACATCTTATGGAAAATTCTCTATTCAGGCAACTCATGCTATGTGTGAAACCAAGCAGATTTCTCTGTTCAAAGCCATGGTAGTTAAAGAAGCTGTTCCCTTATTCAGTTACAAGCACAGTGATACATACATATCTTTTAATGATGCTTATTTTCTGTAGCAATCTATAAAAACACTTCTAACTCCATCTGCTGTTACACATTTGGCTATGGAAGACGGAGGTGAGTTACTTCCTTTTCATGCTGTTAACTTTAAGTTCGGGTTATACAGATTGTGGCCTTGCAATGAGTGGACAATGAAGAGAAAAAATAATAAATTCTCATTTCTTGCTAAAAATACTTTGTTTTCTTTTAAAAGAGCTCTGTCGTCAACTAAGTCAAGCCACATAAGGACACGCTGTTTTTCTCCAAGATGTGAGAGAATCTACTTCAATGCTCTGAATCAGGAATGATTAAAGAAAATTATTTGAATTGATACTGTCAGGACAGATAGTGAGCCTAGCATTTTTCCTCAGTACCTGCTTTAGATATCTGGTGCTGGACAGTAGCCAACCATACATTGAAATATCTACAGACTGACTAGAAGCATTATGCATTACACATATAATACCAAACAGAGCAACGTTTTATTGCAGCATTTGCAGTTCTTACAGTATTTTAATATTTCAGCACTGCATCCATATTACTTTAGCTGCAGTAAGATAAATGGCAAAAATAACACCCTCAATACCGAGGCACTGTTAAGGTGATCAATCTCAATATGCTGAGAAATCATGTTTGTCAGCAACTGTTTCATACTTTCTATCAAAAGTTAAATATTCTTTTGTGAGTCATTAATTATTATTGATCTTTCTAGAAATCACTCAATCCTGTCAACAGAGTTATACAAACCTCATTTTGCAGTGTCTGGACTAGTACAGTTCTCTATGCATTCAGATTATTAACTTGTAAAATAATTGAAGAGCATCTCAAAGATTCTGCTGCTAACCACAGATTTGTCTTTATTTTGACTCATTGTCCAGTGCTTGGGAGACCTCACAAGAACCTTTTTAAAGCATCTATTTATTGGTCTTCCGCATTGTTACAAAACAAAGCTCAACTCTGCCCCAACTTCACACACCATTATGACATGGATCATTGACTTTAGGTCTTCCTTGTAGGCTCCCTTCCTGGCCCATTCACTCATGAAAGGTTTATTGCTCACTAGTTACTGATGTGCATCTCCTGGAAGCTGCAGGGCAAAACGAGTCCTGTGAGGACCATCTACCTTGTCAGAAAGTCGTGGGACAAGCCATTTGTTTCGAAAAAAGAATTCAATGCCAGCTACTGTGCAGGTCTAGCATATAATAAACCAAATTAGATCATTAGAACTCTTTCAAGAAGGGCTTTTTCACACCACTTGGCACAATAAAAGGCCTCAAGAATTGTCAAAGATAAGGTCAGAGATACCTCGAGGTCTCACTATTTCTCCTGGTCTTGCTTTCAAAGTTTTGTTTTACACAGACTCCTGGTTTAATTACCTGCAACCAAACCCAGCCTCTGCAATGTCCTAAATGCATACAGTTTTTTCTTTGCTTAGTCCTTTACACCTCTCTTACAAACATCTGAACTGGATATGACATTCCTATCAGTGAACCAGATTATTAATGGCTATAAATGACAGCTAAATAACTAGGATGGACACAAGAGAACATGTTCAACAATCTTGACTTTGATCAAGATTTATGTCAGATGCTACTATATTCATTCTTAAACTCTAAGGCAGGAGATCAACTGAGAGGAAGAATTACTTACCGGATCACATCTGATAACTTGTGATAGGAAGTGTGTGAGGCATTGATAGGAGAGGAAAGTGTTAGTGTTCCCCAGATGCAGGCCTTGCACTGCTGCTACCACACTGCCAGCTGCAATCATGGAAGGTGGGTTTGAAATAAATTTAATATCTGTATGGAGAAAAAAAAAAAAAAAAAGACTGAAATGATTGCTTTAGAAGCCTGCCCATACACATACACCCTGCTACCAGCAGGGCTTCAGCTGCCAAGTATTGCATCCAAGAAGGTAAGGAAAAGTGGGAGCAGAAAAGTGCCTCCCGCTCTAAACTGTTACAGGTCCAAACCTGTAAACACTTATCCACAAGAGCAACTGTACTTCAGCAAATAGCCCTTTCTAGCACTGAGCCTGGGAGGCCATTCATCACTCCAAGGGACTTTTATCATAAGCAGGGCCCCTGTTCTTCAAATGTTAAAATACTTTGCTCATGTGAATAATGCCACTACGGTCAGTGGCACTAGACATCCAAGAAAACCTGTTTGCATTTGTGCGTGATGGGATCTTAGGTGAACTCTAGTTAAGTGCTCAGGCCTTTTAAAACAGAAAACTTTGCACTGACAGTCAAAGGAATATAGCTTTAATGAAAAACATCCACAAAAAGGAAGAGAAAGACCGCTTAACCCTGTCAGGAGGCAGATAATCCATATTTAAGGTTTCATCTTCAAAATGCTTTGTCTCAAGCTAGTCTCTTGTCAGTGGCTGCCATCCATCCTGGCAACAGGGATTTAATGTAAATGTGGCATAACTAAGTGATGGGGGTCCCAAGAATTGGCAGACAATCAGTTACATTCTGATGTGACACCATGCTGACAAGAGGCTGGGCCCCCTTCCAGACTGCATTGCTGTAGGTCTCTCCACAAAGCCACTCCCATGATTCCTTAAGGGGCTACCTCTGCCATTTAGCATGTTTTTCATATGGGTTTCTGCTTTGCTTTGTTAGTTTGGTGTTGGTTGGTTGTTTTTTTTTAGTAAGAATAATTCACATTTTAATGCCAAGACTCCTTCTGACGAACATGAGTGCATTTCATCTGGGGCAGTGTACACCTTGGAGGAGAATCAGAAACAAAGGAGGCAAGTGGCACAAGTGAATGTCTAATTTTGAGGATGAAAAGGAAATGCCACATTGTACACCAGAACCTGAGACACATTCCTTCAGCTTTCATCAGGATACAGCTTCCTCTGGGTTGAAAAAATATAAACCGTCTGTCAAACCCTTGAATGAAATCAAAGGAACAGACAGCTTAGAGGGCTCAACAGTTTAAGCATTAAATCATGCATCTCCTTTATTATGATAAAATAACTTTTGTGTACATATTTTAACAGTGAAACTACAGATTTTGGGACTCCGTGAAAGTCCCCTTTCTGAAACTATTCAGATACCTCTGACACTCCATTGTAGCACTGACCAACACCTACCTTCAAAGGGGCATTTTACCCTGCATGCTGCAAACTTTCAAAATTAAACTGGTATGATGAACTGTCACCAAACTTATGAGATGCCCTGCCAGCAGAAAGGGAAACTTGATCTGAAATAGCCTCATTTGTGCTTGAAATGAATTTAATTTATCCTCTTTTCCTAATCTGTCCATTGCCAGGAGGATATTAAATAGACCCATCTTCTAGCAACCTTCCGTCACTCCCAAAAATCTAAGGAAGTCCAGACTACTTACTGACACTACACACATTGCAAAGCCAGTCCCCTCACTGAAATACAATACACAGTTGCAGGTAGGCCTCAGACATAAGGGATTTCAGTAGGCAAGCATGAATTCCACTAAGCTTGGGCTGCTCCTGTGGGTAGTAGGGTTGCAGAGTGTTCATGACACTTATTTACTGAGCTCCACAAACAGAACGTGACCAAAATGTGTCGGTTTAATCAGTCTGTCCTGACAGGATCCTGTTTATATTTGCATCCTTCTTTTAAATGGAGCAGTAAACAAGAACATGAATTCATAGTCACACCCTCATCCTTTCCAAGGTGGAAAAGTGATAATGAAGTTTAAATGACCAGTTTGTGTCTGTCCCTATAACCACTCCAGACAAGCAGCATGGACTGCCTTTTTGTTGCAGCTCAACAAGGAATTATTTGTGGCAGAGGCCACTAATTTCAGCATATTAATCAGGGGGCCCCTCTCGCCTGTAATTGGATGCCCCCAAGTGAAGAGTGTGGCATCATTGTCAGCCTTCATCGCCTCATCTTGCGCTATTGAACGCTCAGGAACAAGGGGGCTTCGGTGAGATGAATTAGACCTGACACAGCCACAATGGGGTAGGGGGCCCCATCAATTGAAGCACACATCCCCAGTAGCCTATCTGAGACTTCATCCAAAAAGAATAAACAACTTCAGCGTTGTTAAAAAGAGAGAGAGGGAGAGAGAGAGGAGGGGGAGGAGAGAGAAGAATGCCAGCCACCCTGAAGGGAGGACAAAGCAAGCATATAGGCACTGCAGTGCTTTAAGAAAAATTCCTAACAAGGCGAGTCACCCCTTTTCCTTTTTAAATGGAGCAGCAATTCCATCCGTCTGGAGAGCTGGGGGCTATGAATGAAAATCTTTTCATTGAGGCAAATCAAAACTGCGAACATAAATCACTTGCTGCAAGATGCAACAGGTTCCAACTGGTCACATACCTTGAGCCTTCCAATTTTATTAAGGCCAGCAAACAGGGGAATTGTAACACTTTCGTTTCAAAGGAGGGATCTTTCTTTCTCCATCCCAGAGGAGGAAAGCAACAACAATAATAATAGCAATAATAGTAGTATAAAAGGAACCTAGTATGTTTTGATAACCAGAGGAACATAATGAAATGCTGAAGCTCCAATATTTGTTGCCATTCATTGTTATGCTTGTGTAGAACTGCAGTTCTCCCTCAACACTGGTCTTAACTTGGGCCAAAAGAGGCCTGCTTCCTTTTGAGCTCTCCCTGCCTTCCTCCGCCATGCCAAAGCCCCATTCATTAAGCTCAATTATGTGTTAACTTCAAACAACCCCTGGTAATTTTTTTTCTTCTTCTTCCCTTTGCTTTTTTGCCCGAACCTACCACAGCACAAAGACATCCTTTGGTGAAAATGTTTTTTCTTTTTTTTTTTTTTCACAACTAAACCAAATTAAACAAATATACTTCTACCAGCCAGACAACTGAAGAGGGAGCTTAGAAGGAATTCCTCTTTAACTTCACCTTTCAGCATAACCTTCTCTTTCTGGAGCAAACACATATACGCACATCTAGCAACACTTCCATAACCTTCACCCTGTGAAGCCAACTTTCATTTTCTAAGCAAGCATTATTTTGCCAGCTCTTCTTAGGAGACCCTCTCATTTACAGCAGAGGACACAGGCTGAACTTCATGCAAAGTATATACTGTACTTGCCCCTGAGGCCACTTAAGTGAGTGTGTTTCTAGTGGACTTTGGATCGGGCCCCACAGCATCCAGGCAGTTTACAGTCCATCTAGGTTCATTTTGGCAAGGGGAAATACAACACAACCCAGTAATGGCAAAGCAAAGTCCAGGTGCTACTTAAGCCACAAGTGATCTTCACTAGCCAACAATGAAGCCATGGGGAAAGCAAAAGGCGCAAGAAAATCCCGACATCCAGAAAGGACAATAAAAACACAGAGCCTAGTGGTAGCCTTCTTGAGTGCTTTTTCCCCAGGCAATATCCGAGCTTCTGTAGGGAACTCAAGAGGGCCCCAGTTCTGTTGAGCTCAGCACTGTGGGGCTGTTTAAGAAGCTATGTAAAAATCCCAGAACATGGTTCTCATTTGCTGATCCATTCTCCAGCTGTGGTGTGTAGCAGTGTTAAATAAAGGCTCTGGATGTGCTTCCTAAAAGAAACATAACAACACCGACAGTAGATCAAAGTACTGGACTCTTAGCAAGTCTCTAACCTTTGAACTACTCTTGTTTTCATCCCTGTCATTGCCAGCAGAACAACCTAGGTTAAACATCCCCACAGCCAAAGGGGAGTCTGGGTAGCTGCTCTTTTTAGCTAACAGCAGAGGAAGCTTCAGTGGGATCTGGCACAGAGAGTTAGGTCTGATATTCCAAAAATGCCGTTGCTGTTAGTGTGAAGCTCTCTGAAGGCTGTGGTGCTCCCAACACCAAGTGTTATTCCAAGCAGTCTTAACTTACAGACTGCCTGCTGGGCTGGTGTTAGCCCCAAGATGAAGAGCAATGCCAGTGTTTATGTATTTCTTGTTTATAACTCAATCGTTCTATCTTTAGGCGTTGCAGTAGAGCTGATTCTGTGCAATAAAAACTTTTCTTCTGAGTGCCTGCAATCTTTCTTCCATCTTTTTATATACCAAATCTACCTCTGGAAAATAAAACTACGCGACATTAAGCCATGCCATTACACACATCCCACCGAGGTTATCAAGTGTGGATACCTCCCTACTCAGCATCTCTGGAGGCCTGCACATGGCTTCAGTGCAGCACGTGGTCAGCAGGGTGCAGACTGCAGTGGCTCAGTGCTGTGCCAGCAAAGCCTTAGTGCTGCATGGCCTTCCTCCAACCGACCAGCCACCAAGGAGGAGGACAGGAGGGCCAAGAGGCATCTTGAAGAGGGAAGTTTTACACCACCCCCCCACCCTCCCCTCCTCCATGTAGAGCTATTCACAAGCATAAAATCTCCCTCTGCTTTTAAAACTTCATCTTAAGAATAAACCTATGCAGGGAGTGATTCGCTGTGCAGCTCCCACACACAGAGGCAAAGGAATCCTGCCAGAACTCCACAGATAATCCACGGGGGGGGGGGGGACTTCCCTTGAGGGACGCCTCAATAGCAACATACACGGTGCTCAGAAGCCAAGTATCTTCTCGAAAGCAAACTTACCTCTGCAAAGTAATCCACGTTCTACAAGCAAAGGGCAATAACCGGGGCTTAAACTACCTCCCCACAGCTCACTTTTAGGTCACAGCTACAAGAAGCTGTACAAACCAGGGGGTAGGGTGCATGTTGGAGAAAGCAACATGGTTTGCTTAACTTGCAGGGCTCATACCTGTAGCGCACAGAGCCACAAAAGTCTGAGCATGTTTACGGATGATCTGCTTGGTGTCCTCTGCGAGAGGCATTTTAGTAAGGAAATGTTCAATGAAATCGTGGGGGGTCATTGCAGCCAGATTCCATTTCAGCTTATTCACCAGAAGCAGCTCCATTTGCTGCAAAGAAAAGAAGGAGGGATGAGGTGGGGAAGAAGAGGAAGGAGAAGAGGGGAAAACGTGGTTAGCTCTGCTCACACGCACCCGGCCGAGCATTACTCGCGGCTGGGCCCCGGCTCTAGGCCGAGCCCGCTTTCCCGGCGGCTGGGAGACAGCGGAATGGTTGGGGGAACGACGGGACTACGGCGGGACTGAGGGGAACCCATTGTGGGGAGCCCCTGCTCGGGCAGGGGGCGCAGGCGCTGGGGGGAGGGCACCAGGACGCTCCTGCCGCTGCAACACCGCGGGGCCGCCAGGGGGCGCCAGAGCTCCGCCCAGCCGCAGCCGGCCGGGGCCCGCGGCCGGGGAGCGCCGGGTCCGTCCCGATCCCCGTTCCGATCTCCATCCCGATCCCGGGCCTGGCCCCGCGCCCTTTAAGGGGCTACAGCTTCCGAGGGCGCGGGGAGCAGCTCCCGCCCACTGCCGGCAGCCCCGTTCCAGGGAGACCACCCTCTCCGGGGGCAGGGGGTTCCCAATCGGCGACTTCGATTTGGGTTTTTTTTACGTGTTTTTGTTTTATTATTTCCCTTTTTTTTTCTTTCCTGAGATGATTAAACGTGAAATTACCAGTAATTCGTCCGGCCTGATGGAATTATCTGTATAAATGCACAGTTTTTCCGCAGTCAGAGGAATAGTTTCCTTCATTTTTGAAGCCACAAACATGCAGGTAGCTCCGAGCAATTGCAACCGACTTTTCTTGAGGGGTTCAAACGACAAAAATCTGTCCAAATAATTCATAGCCAAGGGGAAAACCTCCTCTTCGCACTTCTGCTCCTCACAAACCTGGAAGGAGAGAGAGAAATCGTTTAGGAATAATTTTAATAGAGGCGAAGCAGGCTTCCCCTCCCCTCACCCCCCAGACTTTACAGGGCAAGGCTGAAGGAGATTAGAGGGGGGAATGCAGCTGGGGGGAAACGGGTAAAGAAGAGAGAAACAGAGGCATCAAAGAAAAAGTCACGAGTGACAAACTGGGGAGAAATGCGGCGTTAGAAATCCGCAGGCGATTCGTGGTATTATGAAAGGGAGGGGGGTGTCGAAGAGGGGAAGGTCTGTCCCCATATTTCCAACCCCTACAACCCAGTTTGAAAAAAGTAAGAAAAAGCAGCGGAAAACGCGGGAATGGGGTGCAGAGCCGGGCCCTGCTCCCCAGGAGTGACTTATTTCGCTTTTATTTTTGTCATCTGCTTTGCCGTTGTGCTGCTGATTTCCCCCCTCTCGGGTCGAGACACAAAGGTGGCGTCCAGCCTCATTTCCCCAGACGTCATCTTTTCAAAAAATATTTAAAAATATTTAAAAAATAATTCGAGCTCTCGAAAAAAGATGAAAATGAAGCGGCGGGGCTCCTTTACCGAGCCCCGGGGACGGGGTGCTGCTGGGGGGCTCCACGAAGCCCCGCCGAAGTGAAACCCACCGCCTCCCTCCCTCGCCCTGCAGCACAGCCGGGCGCGACATTTCCCAGCTCAAAGGCAGGGTGCTGCGCTTTCAAAAATTAATTAAAAATAGATCCCGGGCTCGCAGAGCTTCCGAAAAGGCACGAAAATGTAGCCCAGCTCCTAGGGCTCCCGAAGGGACACCCCTCGGGGGCCTCGCACCACAGGACGGGGTCTTTTCCAACTCGCTTTTCCCCTGCGACCCTGCAGCCCGGACGCCGCGGCACAAGCGTGTCTTTGAGGGGTGACTGCAGCTTCACAGCCGCTCTTCGTGCTGAACAAAGAAACTTTCACCCTGCAGCTCCCCCCAAAGCACCGCCGGAGCCCCTCGGCCGCTCCCGGTGCCCGCAGCCCCAGCGGGGTCCCCTGTCCCCGCTGTCCCCCGCAGCTCCCACTCTTGGCTCGGTCTCCCCCGAGACTTTCTTCGGGGTGAGGGTTGGGTTTCTTTTTCGATTAATAAACACTTTTGCTTTCCAAATAAAAGAACAAAGATGGCGCATAATACTGGCACGGACAGCCACTTGCATACGTGTACAAGGATATTAATTTAAAATAAAATATATCCCCCCCCCCCAATAAAAAGGAGCTGGCAAAAGGTCCCCCGGGGGCACCAAGGCCAGGGGTGCCGCAGGCCCGGCCGTTCCCGGCGATCCCCCACGCCGGGACTGCCTCTCCCCGACGGCTGGAAAAGGTCCCGGGGTACCCCCGACTCCCGGCCCGGTGTAGCGTGGAGTTAGGGGGGGCGTCCGCCGCTCCTCCGCGGCAGGGATAAAGAACCGGCAATAGCGGCCGCTCCGAAGCCGGGGAACTAATCGGGGGGGGGGGGGGGGGGGGATTAATGGTTATGGGGGTGAAGGCAAGGAGATGGGGGAGCAGCTCTCCGGTTTAATTCATCTGGGTGCCGAAGTTTGCAAAGGGAAATCCCCGCAAGATACAAACCTCTAACATCCAAGTGGCAACTATTTTCCTCATATATGGCAAGATTTCTTTCTGCACGCACTTGAAGTAGGAGACGGAGGGCGAGCAGGTCTCCTCCGCCTTCAGCATCGTCTGCAGCACCCTGTCATTGAGGAGGTTGGCATCGTGGTAGGCTCGTCGGATGGTCTCCACCTCGCAGCACAGCAGCTGATGTTCCATGGCCGCCTCCGTCGTCCCGAATCAGCTCTCTGCAGCAGGGCTGAGGCAGGCGCTCCTCGCTCGCTCTTCCCTTCCAGGAGCTCCCTTGGATGCTGCTTCTGCTACTGCCGCTACAGCCCTCTGGAGGCTGCAAAACTTTCTAACTTCCAACAAAACTCTAGTATGGTCCCCGTGACGTTACTGTTGTTAAGCAGAGATCAAAGCACGGGAGAGAATGAGAGAGCCAAAAGCAAGGGGCAGAGCCCTAAAGCCATCCCATGGGCTTCAAGTCCTCCCCCTTTGCTTCGCTTATAGCGAGCAGGGTTCGATGCAAATGAAGCGAGGGCTTGCTCGCTTCAAGGGCGAGGGAGAGGTGGGGGAAACCCAAATTGTCTCTTCAGTGTATCATGCATAACTTTAAAAACGGAGCGGGTTCTGCAGCGGGAGCCAGATGATGAATGGGGCCAGGCCACACACAGGCACGCAGGGATGTGGATACAAGGAGACCTGCTTAGGATATTACTGGGGGTACCAGGCAGGGGGAGCCGGGCAGCACCCTGTCCCTTATAGCCTATTATTATTATATTATTGTCATTGACACATACCTGCACGCTAACCTTAACTCCCAGCCTTAGCAGTTGATCTCAAGGGAAAAAGCTTGCTCCCGTTTCCTCAGCCCCTATTTTTTCCCAGCCTGGATGGTTTTGCTGCATGCCAGAATTGTAAAGGAATTATTGGGGTCTCCCCCTCCCCATTAAAATGATGCTTTTTCTTATCTTATTTTTTAAAGTCTTTTTCACTTTAAAGGTTTTATCCTGCATAAGGTGTACGCACAGAGGTGGCAGGGGATGGGGCACCAGCTGATCCCAGCAGGCCACACACAGCACCCAACCTCTACCACTGCTCAGAGAAAAGGCCCCATCAGAGCAGCAAAACGGTAGCCAGAGCTTCCTCTGGCCCCTGGAGGGAGATGAACCAAGGAGGGAAGGAGGGAGGGAGGTGCCAAGTAGCCACCAGAGCCTGCTGGGGCCTCATCCAACAACATGTCCACATGTGACATGCAAGAGCAGCACCCCGCCTTAAATAACTCCTGTTCCCCACCAGAGCTGCCCATACCTGGAAACACTTTGCTTTGCCTTGTTTCCAGTGAAACAATGAGTCTCTTCTGAACTCGTTACTTTCCAAGGGTCTGACAGGGGTCTGCGGAGGGATACTGGAGCTAAGGTCAATGCACCAAAGCATGGGAGAAACAACTTGTCCTACACTGAGGTAGAAGGCCACAGCCTGGGATATGCACTGCCAGCCTGCCCCTCCAGACCCAAGCACTTGGCTTCACCTTGGCCTCCCTGCTTCAGCATCATGTGGGCACTCAAAGCATTGGAAATGTCTCCTGGACGGGGAGGCTGTGACATGCCATAGTGGACATACCATGGAGTCATCATAGAGTCACAGAATGGTTTGGGTTGGAAGGGACCTTAAAGCTCATCCAGTTCCAACTCCCTGCCATGGGCACGGACACCTTCCACTAGACCAGGTTGCTCCAAGCCCCGTCCAGCCTGGCCTTGAACACTTCCAGCATCTCTCCTGCATGACCTGTGGCGAAAGCAATGCCAAAGGGATCACAGTTGTGTGTCTACGTAATTTCTTTGTGTGAGATATGTGCTCATCTCTCCTAGTTTACCCGCTCACTTGATCATTTGTCTCCATTTTGTCTTCCTCTGTCAGGAGGACATCACAGGCTGGAGGATCTCGGCTGCCCTCATGCAAATCTGGACGGTTTCTCCATCCCCTGCTTGTGTCCTTCTGCTTGACACACAAGGACACACACTGCTGTCCTCGCGTCAGCTGGCCAGGGAGGTTTTAATTTTTAATGAAGAAACATGCCACAACCCTGCAGTCCTGGCATTTGGCCAGACCAGGTATCTTGTTTAATGAACTTCCCCAAACTGACCCCCAGCACCTCTCTGGGGAGCAGCTGGTTTGGGGGTGCCAGTCCCACTCCACTGCATAACAGCGTTTTGTCTCCCGGCCACATTGCCGAGCTGCCCGGGCAGACCAGGAGCTCGGAATCCCCTCTCCCAGCCCCGCAGAGTATCCTCGTCCTCCCGGTTGGGGTGGGCTCCGCCGCGGGTCCCTTCCAGCAGGAGGCCGGCGTCGCGTTGGGCAGCAGCGGGAGGTGCCGGCGGCGGGGAGCGGCGCTGGCCCGGGGAGCCTCCGGCGGACGGCAGGGGCGGCGCGGCCGCAGGAAGCGGCCTTTCGCAGGAGCCAATGGCGGCGCCGGGCTGTTACCAGGCGGACCGGGCAGATCTCGGCGCACGGCTCGCCCGGTCCCACAGACACACAAGGGGTCTGGCCACGAGCTTGCCGCGATGGCGGTTCCTCACCTGCCCGGCCCGCTGGGTCCCCTGCCTGAGCCGCCCGTTACCGGCTCAGCACTCGGCGGTGCATGCCCTGCTCCCTTCCCGTCCGCCTCACGGGTGAGTGCTGAACGGGCGTGCCGCCTCCTGCTTCGCTGCCGGCGCGCTCCCGGGGCCGAGCTGCAGCCGCAGCAGCCGCAGCAGCCGCAGCAGCCGCAGCAGCCGCAGCAGCCGCAGCAGCCGCAGCAGCCGCAGCAGCAGCCGCAGCAGCAGCCGCAGCAGCAGCCGCAGCAGCAGCCGCAGCAGCAGCCGCAGCAGCCGCAGCAGCCGCCGCAGCAGCCGCAGCAGCCGCAGCAGCAGCAGCAGCAGCCGCTCTGGTCCCGGAGGCTTCCGACAGCGCTTCCTTCCTGCTCGCTCCCCGCAGCGCCCGCGACTGGCTTCTTCTCATGACGCCATCCCGCACCACCGGGCGCGCGCGGCACCCGGCGCGGGAGCGCGCATTCCTCGCGTGCCGACTCCGCCCTGCAGCTATAATGTTACTAAGAGCCGCGCAGCGAGGAGCGAGTACGAGCCTCCGTGTGCCCAGGCAGCCGGGAAAGCCAACGGCATCCTGGCCTCTGTTAGCACCAGTGTGGCCAGTGGGACCAGGGCAGTGATTGTCCCCCTGTACAGGGCAGTGGTGAGGCTGTATCTCGAATCCTGTGTTCATTTCTGAGCCCCTCACTACAAGAGAGACATTGAGGTCCTGGAGCAGGTCCAGAGAAGGGCAATGGAGCTGGTAAAGGGCCTGGAGCACAAGTGTGATGAGGAACCGCTGAGAGAACTGGGGGGGTTTAGTCTGGAGAAGAGAAGGCTCAGGGGAGCCTTTATTGTTCTGTACAGCTACCTGAAAGAAGGATGGAGCCAGGAGGTGGCTGCTCTCTGCTCCCAAGGAACAAGTGACAGGACAAGAGGAAATGGCCTCAAGCTGCACCAGGAGAGGTTTATACTGGAGATTAGGAAAGATTTCTTCCCCAAAGCGTGTGCAGGCATTGGAACAGGCTGCCCAGGGCAGTGGTGGAGTCCCTGTCTCTCAGTGGTCACAAACCATGTAGATGAGGCCCTTAGTGACATGGTTTAGTGGTGGTCTTGGCAGTGCTGGGGAATGGTTGAACTTGATGATCTTAAAGGTCTTTTCCAATGCAAATGATTCTGTGATCTTGCACGATGGACTGGGGATGAGAGGAGCAGTGTCCATTAGGCGTGAGGTGACAGGGCAGAAGTGAGGAGATGAGAACCTAGCTGAGGACAACAGCTGTGGTGGTGTGGCCTCCATCATGTTTTCCCCTTGGGCCTGGATGTGTCTGGAGAGGTCCTCAGGCTTCCTCCCTTGGGCGAGTGATTGATGATGGATGAACAGCTCTACAGTGCTGCTGGAGAAGTGGGTCCACGTAAAGGAGTGTCAGGGCTCGTTTCCATTCAGTGCTGACCATGACAGCTGGCAAAATGGTGGCTGCCATGTGGGGCCTGTGTGCAGCTGCCATTTTGCCTGTGCAGGGAGGGAGGTGAAGGAGCAGAGCCCAGGAAAGATTTCAAGGGGGGGGGAATGTAACTAGAGAGGGGCAGAGGTGTGAGCCTGGGGGGTATGAAGGGGGGATAAGCCTGTTGCAGAGCCAGGGCAGGCTGGCTGGGGTGTCCTGGGTTGACAAGGTATTGCTGTGGGACAGGACAGAGGGACAGACTGCAGCCACCTTCCTGACCTGGTGGACATTAGACCATGTTGAGCCTTGACAGTGGAGGTAGGAAAGTGGAGAAGGGAGGCGAATAGGCTAAGGACAGGGGAAGAAAATGTAAGGAAACAAGGTCTGGTTTTGTTTCTTTCTTCATCAAAGGAATCCTCATGTTCAGCCATGCTAGAAACAAGCTGGTGGAAGGGGAGGCACCAAAGGAAGCCTAGCAGACAGTATCAAGGTGAATAGCCAATATCTTTATGCACCAAAATTCTCAAAGTGAAAATGTTTCAGTGGAATATATTTTGATTTTAAAACCGGCAGCTACAGTTTCTGTTTCGCTATGCACTGTTAACCCAGAAGCCTTTGTTGACAGTATGGTTTGGTAATATGTAAAGCATGAAAATGAGCAATATAGACACCAGTGTTTGACACAGATTTGTGAGCTATGAAAAAAACACATCTTAGCCACACAGAGCATTTAAATTCAATTTACAAGGTAGAAAAGGAACATTTCTTCCATTTCCCAAACTGACACTGCCTCTTCATAGTATTGCAAGGCGAGTTAAAGGCACGTTATAAATACCGTTAGAAGTTTGTTGCTGAATTAGCTGTAGATAGTAGTTTTTGAAGCACGGTGTTACTATTTTTCATCTCTCTCTTCACCAGTGTTGTAAACCAAACGACACAGGGAGATGTTTTGTGATGACTTAGAGGTTCAGTTCTGCTCCCACTGAAGTCAGCAGCCATTGGTGGGGCAGATCGCTGATGTGCTTGGGGCCAGCGAATAGAGAGTTTGCTGGAAGGATCCCTACACTGGGTTATTCCTTAGTGTCAAAGCCCTAAGCAGATTTTGTGGAGTACCTTGCATAAATCCTGTACCAGTAAATCAGTATGTATGACATATGCTGGAGAAAAGCTGTTTCAGGAATGTCTTGAGTGTCATCTTCCATTTTGTTTATCTCCCTCTGCTAGCATTACTAGTCATGATCCAGGCTGTCAGTTAGGCTGGGCTGGTGGGGTAGCTCCATGGGGCAGATTCGCTTCCTGGCTAAACAGACTGGCTCCAGAGATCAACATGTGTCCCTGTGCTCTTTACTTTGTAGTAAAAAGCTGTGATGATAGAAGCATATTTTGTGACTCTATGGTCCAGATACAAATAAGAGTTGGGCACACTTTTGGTCACCATCTCCACCACCTGTTCTTCAGGTCTCCCAAAGCCAGATCTGAGTTTATCCAGCCATACACTAATTTTAGTCCACTGCCTTCTCCACTCTTTCTCCACCTGTCTCAAAATGGTAAATCTGCTCACTGCATCTTTGAAACATGCTCCCAAGGTTAAGCAGCACAAACAATCTCTGGGGCCAGAGTTTTGGGGGTGCTCAGTGCTTCTGAAGTCTAGTTTAAGCCAGTGGCAGTTCTAGGGGTCATTCCTTCAGTAAATCAGGTGCTTGGCTACCCTGTAATCTCCTTGCTTTCTTCAGGATACCATTTCTTGGTATGTTAACTTGCAACAGAGAGAGAGAGGCTTTCAAGATCAATGTCCTCTTGACATCTGACACCCACCTAAATTGTTTCCACGTTCTCTCATTCTTCCTGCTGACCTAAGGTGAAGTCACATTTTTAGGAGGCTCGTCTGCCTCGTTTTAGAACTCCTTGAATATTGCTGTTGAGAACACATTTGGTTGAACAATCATGATGACCAGAATAATTTGCCTCTTACTACCTAACGTATCTCACTATGCAAGTTTCTCCACAAGGTGCTGAGAGAAGGTGTGGAGGAGGGGAAAAAGAAACCTGCTTCACTTGAAACTGGTGGACTGGATAATGTAAATGATTAGGATTTAGGATGCTTCACTGAAAGAGCTGCTGTTCAGTAGCATGAATGATCCTTTGCTTCTGCTGTTCTGCAAATGACTTTCCCAACTCTTCCTAAGCAGGTGGACACCGTCATGACCCCAGTAAGAGGAGGCCTTGCTGTTTGCTGCAGTGAGACCATAGAAGCTGAGATTGCTGTAATCGCCTGTAAGATGTTTGCATCCCTCAGACAATTTTGAAAACTGCAACTGTTTTACTGCTTGGTTGTCAAGTGGATTGGCACCTCTCTGAAGGACAAGTATGCATTCCTTGAACCTTTCATAAAAATTATTTGGCTCAAAACCAAGTCTAAACCACTGGATTATGATTTTTACCTGAAGCATAGATGGCAAAATGATAAATTTGCAAAGCTCAGGCATTTTTTCAGAGCACATGAATTCAATGGGAGTATTACCATTGACATCAAAGGGAGCAGGATTGAACCTGTAATATATAGCACTAATGACTACGATCAAATAAACTTATATTGCCTGGGTTTTCTATTCCCTTTTGCCCTATGTGTGTATGCACTTCTACGTTTGTGCCAAATGAGTGGATCCAGGGTGATACCATTTTGAACCTGGAGCAGTTGTGCTAGATGGGCAAAAATATAACTACTGATGCAGTGTGACAAGCTTTAGGGAATCTCATCTACTTGTTTCCATAGATCAGTAGAGGAAGTGAAGAACTAAAAAACCTTGAAAGATGAGGTTACAGTCTTATGAACTCTTCAGAAATACTTATACCTAATTTGAACTGCTTGTGGCAAATAATATGTTTTTACTTAGGTGCAGTGCATCTCAATTTGATTAAAAATGAATAGCATATCTTTAGGGAAATGCATAATCCTAGAGTTACACCTTTGTATACTATTTATTCTATATTCTTTTTGCTGTCTCTGGAATAGTGCATAACATCAGCAGTAGCTGTTTTTCCCCTCTGGTTAATTCTTACCTGACTCACTCTCCACAGGAGCTACAGCTAGTGACAGAAGAAAATGTAAGGTATGCTAATAAGCTCCTATTTAACTCAGTTGAATTTCCTTTGTTGGCTGAGTTTCATTTGTGTTCACATCCTTTTCTAAATTGGTCAGATTTACAACCTTAAACCGCTTGAACTGGATGCTTCTTGGGGAAATCGAAAAAGGAAAAGGAGATACCATCTTTCTGAATGTGTATTGCATTTCAGAGGATTTAAAGTAAAAAAAAAGTCAAAATGAAACAGGAATGTCAGTTTTGATTAACAGCTGCATCAGAGATGCTTTGTTTCCCATTTTCTGTGGTCTTAACATTACCTTGGCCTATGAAGAGCCTAGAGCTTGTAGCAATATCAGCATCCCCTTTTAAAGTTAAGAACAATCAAAATTGAAAATATGATGTCATTCCATTCTAAATTCACTTTTTCCTTTACCACTTCTTGATCCCCAGCTTGGGACTGAAGTGGCTTTACCCAAGTGTGTAGTCTGCTGTTGCCTGTCGATAGGATCCCCAGCAATTCAGGAAATGGTAAGGCTCAGTCAACAAGTGTAAAACCTCCATTTGCTTAACTGTGTCTGAAAGGTCTTTCTCATGCAGCTAAAATTTCAGAGGATGCTGTCATGGGGTTCCGTACTTGGAAGATGATGTCTGGATGAACACAGTAAAGTTAGATGAGCCCATCTGACAGAGAAACTCAACTGCCAAAATGGTGTGGCATGCAGATCCAACACTTCAAACACCTGAAGACAAGATAAATCTTAATGCTCCTTTCCAACCCAAAATACACACAGAAGTCTCCACAAGGCACAAGCTGGTGTCACATGCCTGGGTATCATAGTGTGAGTGTGTCTTGAAATGCACAGGTATTTCCCAGAGCACCATGCTGAGAAAGGGAGGATCTGGAAAAGGGGAATAGCTCAGTTTCTGCTTGAAACGCATGATAAAGCTATGCCTTCATATTATCTCTCCTCTTAAAACCTATGCATAGTTTGAGCATATTTTGTTCACAAACAAAGTATTTCATGAAATCCCAGCTTTAGCTTTGAATTCAGGCTGGTTAAAGAAGCTGAATCTCAGCAAAATGCTAGTATAAAAGCAGGAAAACTTTCTCAAGGAATACCAAGAATATTTTTCCTACTTCTGGAGTAATCAAATGATGTAGCACAATGATTTGCATTGGTGGAAATGAGGCCAGGTTGTGAACTGTTTAGAAGCTGATTCAGGAAAAGACTTAAGCGTACCTAAATTTAAATAAGTACACTGGAATTACTCATATGCTTAAAAATTAAATATGTTTTAATATATTGCTGAACTGGAGCCTAAGGGTACAGTTTAAAGTTAAAGCTAAACTAGTCTAGACAGTAGCTTTGCTGAAAGTGATTAGTCTTGTTAAACAGGGTAAGTTCAGGATAGATACAAGAAAGAAGTTCTTCCCTGTGAGGGGTAGTGAGGCACTGGAATAGGTTGCCCAGAGAAGTGATAAATGCTCCATCACTGGCAGTGTTCAGGGCTAGGTTGGACAGTTTTGGGTGACATGGTTTAGTGTGAGGTGTCCCTGCCCATGGCAGGGGGTTAGAACTGGATGATCATAAGGTCCTTTCCAACCCTAACTATTCTGTGATTCTATGATTCTGTGATTCTATGATCCTCCTGCTTTTCTTCCCTGAAGTGGCTTATGCTGAAGTAAAACAACCGCAGTTTGTTGACACCAATGCTAGTTCCTCAACAACTTTAAAAAGTATTTCTCTGTCATAAAAATGCAAGTAAAAGTCTTAGTTAAAAATCAATGGAGATACAGTGAAGTGGGTTTTTGTACATGCAATCGCAATTTGGTTTCACAAGCTACAGCCCGTTAGAGAAAGAATTGAAGGGAGCAGTTCTCATGGTGACTGGAATGCACTTCTTGAGCTTATGGGCTTTCAGTGATAACTAAGGGTAGGGCAAAAGCAAAGCAAATACATCGCCAAAATCAAGCTGGCTGCAAATCAAGTGAGAAGAAGCAGGTGCTATGAAATGCTCACCCCTTATGGTGGGATGCAGAAGATCCTGTAGATACATCAGCATCATTGATGGCCTCAGCCTTCCTGAAGCCAGCCACAGAGAGACTGAGACTTCACTTCTCTTTGGCCACCTGTCAAGTTTTTGCTACAAGCGGGAGGACCACACTGTCTACTGGCACACTCACTGATACATTTCTGGAATAAAACCGTACAGGTTGAAGGCTTTTCAGAGAACCTGACAGAAAGGAGGGTGATCCCCCCCCCAAGTCTTCTTGGACGTGCACCAGGAAGTCATGGGCTTGGGGAGAAGATGACTCTATTTTTAAGGGTGGCAATAAGAGATCTTGGTCTCTCAGTGCAAACATTTAGAGGCTGCAGAAGTTTGAGGAGCCCAGGTATCCTTCTGGCAAGTTTTCTGTGGAAGGAGGACGACTGGGGCCTGTGGGTTTCTATCATGGTCATTTGTGCTGTAGCTAAGCACTTGGCTGCCTGCCTGTGACTTTGTAATAAGACTCTGTTCAAAGATCTAGTGTATTTTTAATCAAATGTTTCCATTAGTTTTAATATATCATACCCATCAGATCTGAGTCACTCAGCAAAAACCCAGCCTTCTACACAGTGTCTCATTTATCCTTGTACCTCCCATGTACCTCTGTTTTGCTGACATTGGTTCTGGTTGTACAGTCCTGTTGTGAGGGTTTTTGGGGGGTGGTGCAATTAGCCTGCTCAGAGCAAGTAGGCCAAGGAACATCAAATAAAGTCTCGATGACATATTTGAACTCCTGTATACCATGGGTTATCTGATCTCCAAGGTCACTGCTATTCTCTGGGAAAGTTCAAAAGAATCTGCCCTTTTTCCAGCTTAAAGGGCCACTCTGGACAACTTTACAATGCACATTCAGTTTTTCTTTAAGTATATGCAGTTGGTGAGTTTCAGAGAATTCACTACCTGTACTTTTATTTCCTTTTCTTCTAACTGCTCATCAAAGGCAAACAGAGTAGAATTAGTTTTAATGAATGGAAGGAAAAAGTGACTCTCATAAGTCTTCTTCTGCTACCAAAACTGAATGAAATGCAGGAAGGAAAATAACGTTAACATGAGAAACCTAAACAAAACTATAAAATTCCTTTTTATAATTTAAGCTGTCATCAGTAGCAGAAATAAGGAATTCTATTTCAGACATGACTTACACCAGGTATGTCTTGAAAAGAAAATGACAAATTGATACTGCCTGAAGAGACTGTCCCTGGAAATAAAAAAAGTGCAGAATTAGAACCCGGGAAGCCAAGTATCTTTTCCACTGTTCAGCATGTAGAAAAAAGAAATGATTGCCCTTGATCTTTAGCAGCTCTAACAGGTGGACTTGGGAAGCAATAGGAAAATAACATCATTAAAAGTTTTGTATCTATGAAAAGTCAAGTTGTGCCTTGCTCAAAATATTTGAAGCTATTATATTACAAAGATTTGGTATAAATATGATTAGCTTAACAGTATTCTCCTGTAATACACATCATAAACTCCTGTCAGAATGAAACTGAATGCTAAAAACATCCCATAATAACTTTCACAGACCATTAAGGTTTAGTGCTACAGTGTGGGAGTTTATTACAAAGAGACCCTCTTAGAACAGCATCTACTTGAAGTTGGAGGTATTTCCCTACCCCACCCCCCCACCCAACCCCCAAGGCTTTGTTTTCTGTAAAGTTCTGACTTTGTTTATGTTCACATGCAGACTGTCTTAGCTTTGTGGTGGGTTTGTTACAGTGGTGTGAGGAATCCTGTAGGAATTCTGTTCCCAGGCTGTTAGTTTCCTTTCAGAGGAATCCGAGTATGTAAACTCTTAGCCTTTTTATCCCTCCTAGCTGTGGCAAACTAGTACCCCCCCATTTCCCTCCCGTTTTAGTAACAGCATTATCCAGCAGGATGAGGTATGGCTTTCCCTCCAGATGTCTTTCTTGCCACCCTGTACTGTTGAAACCGAGGATAATGCACACCCTTGCCTGAGGGATTATAAATGTAATGCCCTTAAGCAACATGCAGTTTATCTACAAAGCAATGCACTACTTGTGCCATAAAAATTTCTTATCACCCAATAGGAATATGCATTCAGATCCATTTATTTGACTCTCTGAAGGTATCAGGAGTTTGAGGAAGGATCCTAATACCTTGTGATTATGTCCCGGGACTGATTTTATCCTGGTATAATTCCACAGGCTCCCACGAATCTGTTTCAGACACATGTTGGGCAAGTGTGGAAGGATTGAGTGCAAGCACTTGCTCAAGCCAGAGTGATAGCAAAACGTGAGCTAGAGGCTTTGGCAGGAAAATCTATCATTCTCCATTGATAAAAAGTTTATGATTAATCACCAGCTTGATTACGTTACCCTTTAATTAAGTTTGTAAGTGCCAAAGAACAGGGACTTTGGTGTGTTTTTCCTTTGTTATCTCCTGACCATGGCTCTGCTGGTGTGATTTTATAGAATCATAGAATCATTTAGGTTGGAAAAGACCTTTAAGATCATCAACTCCAACCATTATAAAAGGTCTTGCATTGATTTCCCCTTACTGTTCCAACCTCAGGGGAACTAAGGTCATATAATTCCTTGCTGATGCTTCCACAGTTGAAACAATTTCAGTGGAAGCAAAAATGTATGTGAAAATATGTGTTGGTTTCATTTGTATCACAGGGTTACCATCCTCTATGTAGGATTCATTTCCCTGGAGCTCTCAGGAATCCACACAGTCATTGCACTTCCAGTCCTCAGTCCAGTGGAGCTGGCTGGAAAAGCCAGTCAGACATAGGTCTCATATGTTCCAGTGCATCTTCTTACTAGGAAAGCCAGATCCTCAACTCAGGCTGTATCTTCTCTCCTCTGATGAGAGAAGTTAACATAGTTAACATGCTCTTATTCACAAACATCTGTTCTTGAGAAACCTTCTCTGCTGTCTTTGCTTCCACGCTCATGGAGCCCAAGCAGCTTGAGGCCCTAGCTTTACTCATGGCATAGTTATCTGTTTGGCTCAGCTGATCAAGAACGAGATGGAACTGCATACAGGTATGCAATTTTGGACTAGTTTAAATGATATCATATAATAGTAAGGATAGTGATGATAATATCTTATGCTATAGATGAGAAAAATAAACTATTGTCTCAAAACATAAAATGTACCTGACAAGCGGTACAATGCAGCATTTATGTATTCAAGAGGGAGAATAGAAGTTACTTCACTCATTTTCATCCCATTCTCTGAGTCTTGTATTGCCTATGTGTTAAATCTGGGAGACAGAATCATCTACATGAGAAATGTGGTATGAAGCATCAAGTCAGACTGATAGAAGCTACAGCCTCTCACACAGCCCGTACCAAACAATAGTACTATCAGATGCAAGGAGGTTATAGACATAATGTAGTATATCAGTCTCAGCCAAGTATATTTGCAATGGTTTCCCACATCACTTAGCAGCTTGTTTAACATAGCAGGATTAACCAGTGGGCTCTGCAAGAATTTCTTACAATCAGTGTAAATAAAACAAAAGACCTAAAGGACTCTAGTGGAAGGCAAACATAGTGATGGACAGTAAGTGTGTGTTCATGCCTCTCCTGAAAGATGCCCACAGCTAACTTGGTTCCAAAGTATCATAAATTCATTGCTAATATTTCTTGTTTCAGTTCTGCCTGCATAATATTGTGGTCAGGTTTAGGAAAACAATCAGAAATCTTAAGTATTGAAGTCCTGTTTTACGTATGATGGAACTTTGCAAAGCCACACATTTTTTTCTCAGCCTGCACAAAATAATGAGTTATCTCTCTCTGATTTTCAGAAAAAGACTTGATCATGAAGTGATTGTAGCAAGATCTTTTGCTTGAGTCTGTAAAGACTTCATAAAATGTGACAGTTGATAAATTCCATACCTGGTATGCCAATTTACTTGGCATTAAATTCAAATAGAGTTCAAATAGCATGTTCTATGAAGCTTTTCACCTCCTTTTTTACCATGCACCTTTGCCTATTTACTGTTTTACAAGATTCAGCAATTGGTACTGGATTTGCAAACCATGCAAGTTAGAAAGTCTCTCTCTATTATCAAGATCAATGGTTTCCTCTCTTTCTAAATGCAAACTACTTTCTTTATCATGAAAATTTTACATTTACATAAATAGCCTTCCCAAAAGCTACCTAAGTGCTAAACAAAACTAAAAACAGAGTGAGAGGAAGTACAATGGGAACAAGTAACTGAAATGCAAACCCTGAATTCTTTCAGGAGGAGAATTTTGGAGGTGCTGAGCACCCCCAGGAGCTGCTTGCATTGATAAAATTTCAGCATCGAGGTGCAAAAGCATCCTTCAAGGCCTCTTAAAACAGCCCCTGTCAGCCTTCCTTCTTAGGTTAAAGTCCAAAGCTGATTCAACACAGTATCAAGCCACAAAACTTAGGTCATGGAGATGGAACAGCTAGCAGATGAAGATGACAGACAGCAGAAGTGTATCTTAGGTGAGAATTCTAGTTGCTTAAATGCTGTTAAATTAAATACTGCCTTCCCATATTTGAATCCTGAAAACCCAAAATATTCTTCCGCACGTTATGACACAGAGTGCTGATGCACAGTATGTCAGCAGTGATCTAATATTGAGAGACAAATACAGCTATTGTATTTATAAATGTTCGCTTTACAAAGCAAAGAACATTGTAACAACATATACTTAATGCTAGCATGACAGACTGCAATGTAATCAGTGTCTTGGATGAATTAAGAACACAAACAAAAACAGATTAGCTAACAACTAAATGGTATTTATCTTGCTTGACAGGGCTAGTTCAATAATGAGTCATTTTCTGATCTAATATCACTGCCATCTCTAGCATTGTGGGTAACTGTTACTGCTGAATGAAGTTCAAGCAACCCAAAGGCTGAAGAAGCAAAGGAGTCTTTGCTGAGAAGCAAAGAAGAAGCATGTCTGATGTGGTAGTATTAGCATTAGTCTTTCTGATCCCCAGTAGATGCAATATACCAATTAACTGCGCACCTCGCTGAGCCATGAAACTGGGGTCTCAGCCACCTGGGGTTATTACAGATCTCACGGGGCTTTTGTGATACCAGAATTGTTTTTCCAGGCAGGATCATAGATGAGGGCCTGACATACCCATCACCTAATCGGTCCTGATGGTGCTCTGCTGGCTGCTACATCTCTTACCTCCAGTGGCTGGGGTGAGAAGAGCAAAAACCTTGCTCTGCTTACCCCATTGGGCTCTTCCACTGGCTCTGAAAGCCCTGGGATGTAGCTGGAATTGGATGCAACCACCTTGATGAGCCCTGTCTTTATCTACCTTGTGGTGATGGCAGCTCACATAGCCAGCTCCCCAGACCTGCCTCCCAACTAGCTAGCACAAGTATTTGACAGCAGCATGACTGCAGCAGGCCAATGCTCAGGACAGGCTAGTAGCCCAGGTATTTACCCAGGGGCCTGGGTGGTTTTGATGGTCACACTATGCTCCATGCTGCAGCCAGCAATATCGAGCAGACCAGCTCAGGCATGTCTTTAGGAGCTGCATTACTGTGGGGACTTGAGCAGTGACATATCTGTTTGTTTGTTGGTAATCAATGGGGATGAGTAGGAAACTACCTCCAACTTGCTTCTTTAAGGATTAAAAGCAGTCTGCATTTACAATGGGGAGTAATTACCTTGTTTGAAAATAGTTGTCAACTTAATTTCAAATACCAAAACTTTGTGCTGAGGTCAATAGGGTTCCAGATGGAAACCTGCTATGGAAGACAACTATTCAAAGCAAGAATGAGCATGAATACTATTGGGCTTGGTTCTGATCAAGTTTACATTTGTTTAAAGGCCTAGCCCAAAGCCTGTGAAAGTCTTTTGACTGATGAAATAAATCAGCTAAAGTCAATGGGATTACCCTTCTGTCAGCCCAGTATGGGTGAGATCAAAACCCAGATCATTATCTTTTTGTGTTTTTCCTTTTTGCATATTGAGAGGGAGTCAGTGTGAAGGGCCATTGATTGTTTTGTAAAACAGCCTTTAAATTCAGTGGGAGTCTGCCTGCCTGTAGATGGTTGGCAGGATATGGCCCATAAAGCTACCTGGAGGCTGAAGATTCGTACCTCTAGATGTGCACTGCATCTGTTTGGTTCTGCTGCCAGAGGTAATCATACAGTTAATAGCGTTTGCATAGAGAGCCAACTGAGTGTGTGCAATGTGAGAGCCTAGCCAGGCATGAAAACATAAAATGAAATAAGTTAAACCACCACATTCTCTGGGGAAATGCTGATGGGGGACAGTTATCACTTACCACCTTGGTCTCTTGTTCTTTCATCAGAATCAATTAGTTAATTTTTTCTTTTTGTGCATGATGATGGTGATGCTTTAATGAAAAACAAGTCTATGGAAATACTGAACACCAGCAAGTCAGAAGAAGCAAAGGATGCAAAACTGCAGTTTTCCCATGGCCTGAAAATGACTCCCTCCCTGGCTTAGGGCAGCCACAGGTATGCTGTTAATTTTAAGTCCTCTTGCCAGAAGGCTATAAAATGTCTTTTCATCTTACGTTACGTAAGTATCCAACAAATAAGAAGACTGTTATTACAAAGGCAACCACACCGAAAAAAGGTTTCATTTACTCTGAAAACCTGCATTAAAGACTTCTGATGTCTCTGTGGGACTTGTAGGTTGATGAACACTGCTGGAGAGGAAATGCTATTGAATTATTTAATAAAAAAAGAAACGGTAAGTTTGATGCAGCACCAAACTGGGATGCTACTGGAAACCATGTGGTAAATCTTCTGTTAAACATAACAGTAATTTACTCACAAAGATTAGTTGCTGTATTCTTTCAGCATACCAGACAGCATTCTGGAAAATGGTAGCACCCTCTAATTAAACATTTTGGTGATCCTTCTGAACTAAGCAGAAGAGATCCATATATTACTGAAGGATTGAAAACTGTGAGGTGCGAAGTACATCTTACAATATGAAAACTGAGTATGAGGATGCTCAGGACTTGAGAGAAAGTGCTCAGCAGTCACAGGAAGGGTCTTCAAAATCACTGTTTCTTGTCATCAAAGAAATAATTCTGCTTGGCCTCATTGACTGCTCTATTGTTATTGTACACTTTGACACAAGTTTCTCCAGGAAAATAAAATATGGTTTTGTGCCAGTAAGATAAAGGCATTGTGAGAGTGAGATAAGGCATAGGAGGATGCCTCTGTGAAGGTGATTCAGCACATGTTCAGCATACCTTTTAGTAATGAAGGCACTCTTCCTGAAGTTGTTTAGTTGTATTATATTCTTGTACATCTTCACAAATTAATAGGCATTAGGTATATTTAAAATACATTTTAAGTCAGTTATTGTCCAGGCAGTAAGGCATCCTCACCTGCACAATTCACAGAAAAAAAAAAACAAACCAAACAATAGAAATCACCATGTGCATGTTGGTATCCTGCTTGTGAACCAGTATTGTCACAAGCAATATGCTTAGAAAGAACAGACCAGTCAACGAGTATGAACTGACTTACACAAAGCTAAAATTAGATCCGTTATCCTGGTTGAAGTTATTAAATTAACGAAACAAATACACTTTCTCAGTTAGTTATTTTTTGTTATACCATTGTGTATCTGAGACTGAGAGCTATCCATACCAAGCACTGCAAACGCATCCAGAAATAGCCCATTCTTTTAGGTCAAAACAACTGACAGTTATAGCTTCATCTTTTGGAAATAAGTCTCAAAAACTTACTTACGTAGCAAATACCTTAGCTAAGTTACTTTTGTCACCTTTAGCCTTTCTTGATTAGTTTCCTCTGCATTCCGTAGTTGCACCTATACAAGCAGAAACGGTGCTGCTTGTTGACTCCTACTATCTGCTGGAAAATAAAACCCCAAACCAGAAATACAGGGTATACAGTGCAAGGTGACTTGAGTCTGTTTTAAAAGAGACACCTTGCAGTGGCATCTTCAAGCCTTACAGACCTAAATCCAAGATGCTTGCTTTGGCCTTTCCCTACTTTCTGTCAACCTTGGTTCTTCCAAAATCAGTGGTAAAATGGTTATGGCTTTAAATTCATCTACAATTTCATATTCTCTCTCCAGAAAAGCAGTGCAGTAATGTAACTAGTGCATAGTTTCAAAGTTTCTTTCTCCCTTTCTCTGCAGGAAAAAAAAAAAAGTAAATCTCAGAAGAAAGCTGAAAATCATGAGGTTTCAAAAGTACTGTTCCTACATCTTTACCAAACAACCTCAAATTTGTGTTCCAGGCTTTGATAGATTCATTTTGTCGTTAATCAGCTCTACGTGTGGATTTGAGGAGGTTTGAAACATTGGCTTGAAGTAAATACCCTGTTCTTATAAGCTTAACTATGGAGTTACTTGTAATGATTTGGTAATGAAAATTTCCTTTTCCATCAGCTTAGCTATAAAATGTGACTTGAGTCCATCTGGAACTCCCACAAGTCAACATCCGTGCCCTCTTCCCAGCCATAACATTATTTGCTGCCTCTTTGCCAGATCGAAAGTTCTAGGAAAGGCCTAAATAACAAATTACAGAACAGTATATCAAACAATAATTTTTCCCAGAAAGCCACATGTCTGAAACAAAATCTATTTGAAGATAGCATGGATGTGTAATTTGAATAGATACTTATTTTCTAGTTCTAGAATATTTATTTACCTGAAACCCTGCAGCTTTAAGAACCATATTGTGAACTGAAATGAAGATTAACAACGTAATAGATGACCTGGACATCTCTTTTTGAAGCTTCCTGTTTGAGAATGTGAAAAAAAGTGTCCTCTGTGTTTGATGGGTGCAAGAACCAGGTTTCCAAGCATTGAAAGAGCCTCTAGAAACACAAGTGAGGTTTTGATCCCTGCCCCAAGTGTCATTCATCTTGTAAAGCTTTCTGGTTTTATTATTTTAAACAGGTCATCAGTAATGAGATGGGACACTGTAGATTTCAAAACAAACATCTCTACAAAACATTGAGCAAAACATTGCATTATTTCAAATGGAAATCATATATTGGCCCTGGATCCCTTGCAAATTTCCTAGCCTTTTGCCAGTCACCCTGATCTATAGCAGTAAGCAGGTAGCATGGAAGAGACCAGAGCTCTGGTTCCCAGGAGATCAATTCAGTGCTCAAGCCTGGGCCCTGAGTGCAGGGTTGGAGTTAGGGGCCTTCATCTCAGTTCGCCTCTCCCACATTCCCTGAGTTCCTAAAGCACGCCGTTGCCCCATGGATTGCATGATAACCCTGAATCCAGATTGCCACTGTGATGTCCTCAATAATGAAAATATCTTCCACTGAATGAAAACTATCTTCCATTTTCAGCTCTGTGTCAAATTAATGGTAAATTTGCAACTTGCTCAGGCTGATACAGTTCAGACTGTGTATTTGCCAGGTGAACAGGAACAGGGTAACTGATTTTTCTGTTTCCTGCATTTGAACACAGTGGAAATATGACCTGGGCCTTCTGTAATGTTATTTGCTGACACTCTTTCTTTAGGAAAGTAATTTGGGAAGAACAACAAAGAATTCTTCGATGAACTTCCTTACAGAAAACATTGTGGTTGTCTTGCCAGGTCTCGAAATTAAAAATGTGTTCCAGTCAAAAATGCCTATTCAGACTGACATCAAAGAGAAAAATGCAAGCAGGTCAAGAAGTTCAATTTCCATGGCACTTGCGTTTGTGATTCACATGTAGGGCGCAGTCATGACTTACATGCCCATTGGCAATAATGTAATAGAAGGCTAGTGTGAATAAAAAGAGAAATGAATCGAGGTAATAGAAACAGCCCAAATTCTGCATTCAGTTGGATGCGCGGAACTCATTGAAGTTGGGCAGTGTCACACAGAGCACAATCTGGTGGTCTTTCTCACAGCAGCATTTCCATGAATACATACCTCATGGAGTACCCTCAGCTTGGGCTGAGGTTTCCAAAAATGAGTAGCACTGTTTGGTAATATCAATCCATGATGCTTACAGGGGCTCCTTTTCACAGTCTAGGGACCAGGTCCCTTTAGTATTTCTCAGGCTGAACATACAAGATTACTCCTGAAAATCTGGGTTTCAGGGCATGTTTCTATAATCATTTGAGGTGTGCTTTCATAGCAGCTTTTTAACTTCTCCAAATCTCTAGTTAAGGTGAAGGACTATATCTTGAAGTAAGAAAGCAGGAGGTATGTAAACTTTTGAACGCTGCCTGCATATTCTCCTACTACTCCTTACTTGCTTTTCTGATGGGATGATCCAGCTAGGCATTACAGACTGTTGATAAATAGATTTTCAGCCCATTTCATTTAACCATTACTGCATTTCCATATCAAAGATTTTACACCTGGCATGCCCGAGCCTATTTTATTTGTAATCTTTTCTTAAATGAGAAGTTTGGAATGTTTTTTTCATTATGTATTTCATCTACAGTGCACTGCCTTCATGTTACTTTTTAAGATGAGATCTTATATGCTATCTCAAGTCATTCTACAACTCATTGGCTCTTATTTATTCTGGCCTCCTAATCTAACACAATTTCTATGTTGAAACTTGTTGCTATTTTTTTTCAAAGGATACACCATATGATGTTAAGCATGTGCTATATATCAAAGTGCAAATATAAACTAGTTGATAGTCTCTAGTCACACCCTGGATAGGTGTGGCGGTTGGGAATTTTTCACTTTCTGGCTGGAGATCAGAATGTGCTTAACATGGTTCCACATACAGATTCTTGCTTAGGAGACAACTGTTTGGGGTATTTTGGTTTTTGTTTTTCTCATGTATGTTTTTTGAAGGGTTGAGAGCTAAATAGTTGTACTGTGTCCAGAAACAGATTTTTACTTGTTTGGCTATATTTAGAGCTACAATCGGGAGATTTGAGGCTATGATAATCCACTGTCTTGCCTTCTTTATCACTTTGTGGATAAGAAGATGGCTGAGCTTAACTCTAGAGTCAGCCTAAGGCATGGTGCAGAGCTGCACTACTCCAAAAGAAACTCCAAGGAGGTAGTATGACTCAGAGAGCTGCAATTCCTTCCACAGTTCCTCCTTGTTCCAGCCAGAAGTAAGTTGCTTCAGTATTTGTGCTGCTAGACTAAAGCTTACTTCTATTCCTTGTGCTTACAAGCCTCAGCTTACAGAATAGAAAGAAGAGGGATAAGGGCCTGTGCCAGAACCAAGGCGTCACTAACCTGGGAAAGGGTGTTTTGCTGCCTTTGACACCTCAGTGGCCCAAGTGAGGCAGGGGCTGCTGTAGCACCATGTGGGGTTTCACTGTAACAATCACCTCATAGCCACCCCTTTATACTGGCTTTCTAGTCACTTTGCAGAGATGTACATGGCTGCCTATCTTATCAGGCGTCTTTTAACACCAAGAGCAATTCACAAACTATTGGACAGCTTTATACTGTTTCTTCCCTACAGAAATTGTTATATCATGCTGATTCCCTTGCTTAATTTTCATAGTCTTTCATTCAATAAGATGTAGTCACTACCAGGCTAATGTACAGCTCCCCAGACACTTCTGAATTGCCTCTCAGATAATCAGTTTCCCACTGACTTTTATTTTCCATAGTAATAGTTTGTTATACTCGGTGACTGGCAAAGGATTTGCAGGCAATAACTCTCTTGCCAAAACAGGAACACTAAGAAGGGTATTCATAGTGAAGTGTTCAAAATTAGTATTTCATCACTGGTAGTGCAACTCTACCAGTAAAGGGCCTGAGAACACCAGCTGATGTATGATCTATTTGCAGATAATGCACATGGCTGTTCAACTTCCTGACATTCTGCTCAGCATTAACATGCTTTGGGATAAAAAAATGGAAAATTCACAGCCTTGATTTTTTTAAAATATGCTTTTTCATGGATGGACAGCAGAGCAGAAATATTGTAGTACACAGAGACCTTCATTGTACTACATGGAGACCTCCAACTGAGCAGCATTTTAAAAGAATTTATAATACGACAGTAAAATACTATGTTAACTGAGACAGTGTCAAATGAGAGCATATGCTAAATACTTATGTGATGCACTGAGCCTGAAAGATAAAAAGGGTCAGGAAAACAGAGAGGAATTCATCCACATGCACATCAGCTAGACAATCCAGGTATGAATAAAACCTCAGTACCTGTTACTATACTCTACAGGATTACCAGGGAGAAGCTTTTAGGAAGTATCTTGCAATACAAAAAAAAAAAACCCAAAACAAACAAAAAAAAAACCAACAAAGAAAGGGATAAAAATCAACTTCATAAAATAGATCTGGCCTTCATATGGTGTTGAGCAGCAACAGACAGACATACATACACACTTACACTTCCTGCCTTAGTTATATCAGTTTCAAAAATAGCCTATGAAAGAAGATTCAGGCTATTGGACCAACT